CCATTGAAACATGTTGTCACTGACATTGGTCTCGTGTCTGTGCTGTAACTTTAAATTTTATACACTTAAACTCTCACTTTTATTGTTCAGGCTGACCTAAAAAAATCAGAGTGCCACTTAGTGTCGGTACGGTTCAGTACGGTTCCAAGCTATTTCCATTAGGCCAGATTCTTGGAACCAGCCCTTTCTTTTAGTACATACTTCGTTGTGGTTCCAAGTGGTCCCAGTCAACACCAAAATGCGACGTCAGAACACTGTTTGTCACTGATTGGCTAGGGTTGGAGTCACTGATTGCYTCTGAGCTGCCTTTACAACAACAACTCGAGGCGCCATTTTTTAAAATTGTAGCAGCGACATTAGTTGTGTTTCTGTCCAACTTTAATTCYAATTTTAAGCAAAATTTTTCAAATTTCAGAACTTATATGTTTGCTGCAATGCGATGTTAAATAAAATGCAACTACATTTAGTGATACTTGATTAAAACCCAAATTATTAATGTTTTTTTAAATTTATGTGTAACATCTTTAATTGTGAAGTTATTCCTCCAGTGAAAAGACATATGAATGCATGTCCCAATGGGGGAAAAAAAGAATAGAAGTTGGATTTAAATTGGATTTAAAGAGACAGCCTCAAAACGAGTTGATCTGAGGCACACCTCAGAAAATGGGTGAAAGAGGGGCTTGTGGAGTTACGATAAGGATGAATTCAGAGCAAAGCATTGCAGTTTCACTTATATAAATCCCAACTGAATGAAATGTGAAAAAGAATGTTTTAAAAGCAGGATATGTCTCTTTTATTCATTTATTTATGACCACAGTTCAGTTTATTGTTGCATCTGTTCACGTGTCAGTATTTTTTGGGGGACGTTTTCTTAACAAAAAAGAATCGTGCCACGTATCACAAAACTAAAGTTTGTTACCTGCTGTTTACCTGTTTCTTTTTGTGTTTCGCTGTTTAACTGTAAAGATAGTACACAAGTCAACAACGAAGAATTTGTCATTCTTTTAATCTTTCACATAGCTGGCACGAGCACGTGATTTCCCAATGAACTAGTTTGTACTGATTTTTTTTCCACTCGTTGCCTAAAATAGAATCAATCAACCATTGTATCCTGAAGCAATTATAGATTTTTTTTATCCTTCCATAACCACCATCATGTTTTTGCCTTAAGACGGCTGCAAACACAAGCATCTTTAATGTAACTTCATTGGAAACAGACCTGCAGGAAACCTTTTGCATATTTGCTCAAACTCTCTCTTAAATGACTGATTTATTAATCTTCTTGATGTTTCTGCTCTTGTGGTCCCCGAGGTGACGGTGCTTATGACAGAGCAATTCATAGACTGTGTTGTACTCCCTCRGGACTTTGCTGTTGCTGTTGTGACGCTTTAGAGAGTCAGCTCTTTGTTATTAGTTCGGACCAGTTAAGCCTTGAGGGGTCTAAACATAGTCGGAATATTAGCTGATGCTCGAGAAGCCGAGCGGAGGAGGAACCGTGTAGAGACGTGGTTGCATTCAGTCGCTGCCAACAAACATGTGATCTCAACAAACTGTTTTTTTTTTTCACATTTGCAATAACAGTGATTATTTTGTCACCAAGTAGCACGGAGCATTTAGCCTGAACGTTGCAGCTACCAGTGATTACACACTTCTGCTCTGAGCTCTAATTTAACCTGTATTGCAGCACATAATTCATTTATTTGTGAATCGGWAGATTCTTGCTGCCCAGAGAATCAGCCTTTCGTCGAAAGGTTTGAATAATTTTTGCATGGGCGTTGTCCACTCCGAAAGTGGCATTTTGTAGCACTTGTATTATTTAGAGGCCTTTTGTGTGTGTACCCATGCACTAGTGAGGTGTCAGTGTCAGGGCCTTGGCAGCGCCTGTGGAAACCCGAAGCTCTCTGAGCTGCACCAAACACTACACTACTTTTTTTTTTTGAGCACGGGAGTTCTCTTTTCCCTCATTTGTGACATCAGTAGAAATTCTTTGTAAATTTGGATCATATGATCACTATAAAATCCTTTTTAAAGTTGTCTTTTAGCTTCCAAAAATTTCTAATTTTGAATGCATCACATGTTTTGAATTCTTTTTTTTTTATAATTTACACTTTGCTTGCTGAGACAAACGATTTATTTTAGACATAAGCCTCCTTCATAAGGAGAAGTGTGTGTGAAGTGGGCTAAATGTGGATGTGAGACTTGTCACTGGTGGCTGTTTATGTGGAAATGCACAGGGAGCACGGCTTRCAGAGAAGGCGGCTCGCCACAGAAATAAATCAATTAAAACACGGGGTCATTAGAGTCACTCTGGGTCCACATCGAGAGCGTGAAGGCAACACAGGTGACCGAGACAACCCCACCCCCTCTTCCGCCTCTCTCTTTTTCTCTGCTCTCCTTGCATTGCTCTTTTGTTTAGACTCTTTCTGGGCAAACCCTGTTTTGTGAGAATGGTGACTACGCCGTGCTTTTTCATGGCCATGGTTTGGAAAACAGTTGAATTTGCTTCCTCATACCTGCTGAGCTTTTCAGCCAATCGGCCTGGCTGCTGACGGGCATGTTTGAATACGAACGATGCTGCGAAATGTTTAGAATTCCCTCCACGATGCAGCCAACTCTGAACTTTGCAAAGAGTTTTGTACTCTTGTCTCTAAGGTACTGGGACACCATCCGCTCCACAAACCGCTTACTGATCCTTAACAATGCCACAGAAGCAAAATGAACTCACATAAATGTACAACAATAAAAACAAGTATTTGGTCTGTAAAAAAGGAGCAATAAAAAGCCTGTAGAGTTGGTTGTTTAGAGCAGTGGTTCCCAAAGTTGGAGTCGGGACCCACAGTTGGGTCCTGAAACATCAAGGTGGGGTCCTGAAAATATTTTTTTAATTAATTACACAAAAAAAGACAACTAAGTAGTGCTGGGCGGTATGACCAAAATTTTATACCGCGGTATTCTCAACATTTACACTGGTTTCACGGTTTTTGACGGTATTTTTCTTTTCATCACAGGTCAGCTGATAATAAAATGCACAAACACCGCTTATTAACTTTTTTCTTTTACTGTACCTCTGTCTGTGTCTCTGTTTCCTTCCTCTAAACGTCTTTTCTCTGACTGGTGGTTGTAGACTGTAGTCATGCATTTTGGTCCGGTCATGAAGGAGGAGGGTTAAAAGATTATTATCGGGTCTATTGTTTTATGTTATTTAATAAAACTTATCAGGATGACTCACCTTGTACACCAGTCAACTCAACTCCACTACAAAACTTCTTCCCCTGGGCCTTTTCACAATAGAAACACGCTAAAGTCTCCATGCGTCTCCACGTCTCCATATTAACGTTGCGTGTTAAATCTAACAGTGCACGTCAATGAAGATGTGTTATTAAGCGATGGTGAAAACGGAATGTTTTTTTTTTACGTCAGCCAATATGAGCAGCGGAATCGCCACCCGCCGCTGCAGCTACTCCAACAATAACATTAGCATGCTAATGCACATAGCGGTGCTGCGAAGAAAAGTGTCCCCCGGGAAACAGTTCACTGGCGGCCACGTCAAAATGTTCCGCACATGTTCAGGCTAATTAAACCAGTATGTTGGTATTCAAAAAATTCATATCATAGCAAAAATAAAAAAACGGTATTCGGTACAAACCAGTATACCACCCAGCACTACAACTAAGAACATTTTTTCCCTTTGTTTTTACAAAATAATAAGATTAGTGTACTTAAGATGGACAAAATAGCGTAATAAATAATGTTACTATGCTCTTGTTTGAAGTGAAAACAATGTTCATCAACCGACAACAACTGGGGGCACAGGTCTCTGCTGCTGGAATTTTGTGGGTCAAAAGCTGAAAAGTTTGGGAACCACTGGTTTAGAGAGTCCAGGTCAAACTAAAGAGAAGTCTGGTCACAGATAACCGAGCGTCTGTTTCACCATCCATGAACAAGCAGCAGCTGTTGCCTCATGCAGTGCTTGAGACTTTAAAAGTATTTTCAAAATCCCACCTTGCTTTAAAGGTTTTTAGTGCAGTAGAAGAAAAAAATGTGTTTCTCTAAATTGTATTTCTGCAAAATGAGTAAAAGGAGAAGTAAAACAGAAGGACAGATCAGCTCAAAATGGCAGCGAGCAGATTAAAAAAAACATGTGTTTCATTGCAAAGATGCCGATCATTCCCAGTATTTGTCTGCAGATGTGTCGTTTATGTATTTGTATGTGGTCCCGATCGGCTTTGATGCAACTGTGTCAAATTCAGCCGGTAAATTCTTTGAAAAACACAATGTGGGCCCCATTTAACATTCACTGAGTCAACTTCCCCTGCAGTGATCTTTTCTGTGGTGTGTGTAACCATGTGAACATGTGCACCGAGAACGAAAAAACAAAACAAAAACTAGAGCTGTTCTGTTATCGTATCGATGCAGTAACCGTGACCCACCTCACTAAAACCTGGTTTGGGTCTGAGTTAGAAATTCTTTGAAAGAAAGCCGTTTCTAATCTCGTGGTCCGACTCTGCTGCGCGGGCAGGACCGAGCCGCATTTATCATCTCTGACCTGTGACCTCTTTGTCATTTTCTTCTTTTCACTTGCCCCTCTGTGCACACACGCACACATCAAGCAGAGTAAATGAAGATAAATCAGCGTTTCAGCTGCTTGTAAAAACCTGATACAACTCCAGGGATATTAAACCTTTTTATTGTAATAGAGATTTGTTGTCGGGTTCATTAAATGTTCTGATAGAGAGATGTGTGTAGTTGGAAGCACTCTCCACTGCAGTTTGTCTTGTAGCACTTCCATATAAGGTTTAAAAGCTGCAAGTTCTCGTTTCCAAACATCCTCAATGAGCTGCAGAAATCTGAAACATTTTGGGGGAGGCTAGTGGGCGCAGCATGTGGTGGATTTTTATTTAGACGACTAAAACTTCAGATCCAGCTAGAATAAATCTTTATATTGTGCTGATTTGATAAAACACACCCAAACCTCCTTGTCTACCTCTTGTCTTTTTCAGGCCTTTGGTAATGCTAAAACAGCCCACAACAACAACTCCAGTCGTTTTGGTAAATTCATCCAGGTTAATTATCTGGAGAGCGGAGTGGTGCGAGGGTAAGTAATCCATCACCAGATTCATAAAGCATGTGAATTTTAATGTATTTTATCAAACCCTCCTACAAATCTTTTGTTCAAAACATTCAAGGACTTGTTTTTTTATGAGTGTTTCAGTTTTGTGCCTCCCTTTAGCTAATCATCTTCCTCTATTGTCTCTTGATGGCTGGTCATGTGTCTCAGTGCGTATGTGAAAGCTAACTTTTAACCATTAGCATTCTCTTCCCTTTTTTTCCCTCAGCAGTAAAACTCTGCTTAGAAGGTGCATCAAAGTCTGGTCAGCTGTGTCACTTCCTTATTTCTTCATCAGGGGGAGGGGAACAGCTGCTCACCGCAGCATCTTTAAAGAACAAACCACGTCATGTATTCGTTGTAAAACCTGAAGGGCTCTTGAGTGCAGTGCTCAGACTTGTAACGGTATGAGTTTTTCGACACGGTTGCACAAGTAAAAGTCTCCAGTTCTCAAAATAAACTGCGATTTGAAAGGTGTACATGCCTGTGGTGACAGCTGCTCGGCGCTGCAGAAAGTGGGCATCCCCCAGTCTGATTGTCCTCTAATGGCTCCTGGTCCCATCATTGTCTGATTGCTTTCACTGAGAAGGGTTTGATTCAGGCTGCAGGGTTGATTTTATGGAGCTCTAAGCTACAAACTGAAAGCTGGGAGACGCACTCTATGATCTAGTTGATGCAAACCGCCTCTTGTGATTTAACATCTGCTTAACATCTGCTACTGCAGCATTCTGTTTCTTTACACTCAGTCAGGACCTTCACGGCTCTGTTTATAGACTTGACAAAGACAGCCTGTCTGTCTCTCCGTCTTCAGTGGGAGCTATTCAGACAGTCAATAGAGGAGTTCAACAAAGGAGAGCCTGCTGTTGCACCTTCGTCTGCTCTCAAAGTAGCTGACAGTCGATTTATGCTTTAAATCTGAAAATATTATCTCAAGATGGTTCAAAATAGTCAAAAGGAGAACACTTTAGAAGACATGTTCGTGTGAAGGAGGTAAGAGTCAGTAAAAGTGTTTTATGGTTAAACTTTGCAGCTATAAAGACAAAAGCTTACAGCTTATGTCACTGTTTTACTAATTAAACCAGTGGTTCCTAAATTTGAGGTCATTATCCCATTGTGGGTCATGAAACACTGGGTGGGGGTCCTTGGATAATCTCCAAATATCCACTAAAGTTTAACAAAATGGCGTATTTTCAAAGAAATTTACAAAGATGCAAACAGTTACTATAAATTATTAAAAATGAAAGTGTTCATTAATTGTTAGGTAATTGTTAAGACTGTTTGTGGTAATTTAATCAGGTTATTAGAGAAGCTTAAGCATTTAAACCAGAATTAGATGGAGCCACAAGCCTCGGTTAATTTGAGGGTCAGAAGCCAAAATGCTTTTTCTGTGATATGAGGGTAATGTCACATCAGTCAGATTAGAAATGTTTCACGGTGACGTCGTGAACGTCTCCGTTGATCTGCATCAATCTCACATTCCAAGTTGACAAATGGATCTGAAACATGCCTGCGAAATACTTTCCACAGCAAAGCAGAGCCACCTCTCTGCCTGACTGTAGGGGTCAAAAGTTCAGCTTTTTCCTTCAGTTTATCAGCAGTCGGTCTCGTCTGTAACCGACCATGTCCACGTTGTTTGTTGATGTCGTACCAAGTATCAGATAGCAACTTTAAATGAATAATTCCAGTAGGTTTCCTTTAATTTACATTATTGAACAAGTAAACTAACATGAAGTAAATAAATTACACAGAAATATCCAGCAGCACATTATAAAGTAAAGCAAAATGGATAGTGTTTAAATTTTGAAACCGATTCCCAGAAACAAGTAACTTGAATAGGTGGTGTATTTATTAGTCGTTTAAATTAAGTTTGAGTCAAATTTCAGGTATTCACTGGTCAGTTTTAGTGATTGGCATTACTACAAAATGTTTATACCACTGTATTTTTAACAATTTGATGGTATTTTTCTTTTTGAGTATACCTGTGAGTGTCGAATACCTCTTGCAGACATGGATGTGTGGCTCAGGTGTCCCCCTGGGGCTGCTCTGGTTTTGGGTGTGGAGGGTGCCGACTTTGGCCTTGAGCAGTCTTGGGACATGTTTGTGGCTGAGGGGGTGGAACAGCTTGCTCGTGGCTTTGGCTCGGCAGAGTTTGCGGAGTGCAGACGGTTGATTGACATTCAAGCTTTTGGAGCTGGGTTGTTTCTGTACGGTGTGGGCCATCCACTTTTTGGGCACAGGTTCTTCTTGGGCATCGCCCTCGTGAAACAGTTTATTGACGGACCGTGCAACGTTCCCAGTGTTGTTTAGGCCAGTGGCTCCCAACCTTTTTAGACTTGAGTACCCCCTGAGCCATTTTGTCATACCACTAATACCCCCTCTGTCAAACGTAATGATGATTATCCAAAACTATAATGTACAACAACTGATTATTAAATGAAAATTATTTATTTAACACCCTAGATTGTTTAATTTTCAGACATTTTATTTTTTTCAACTCAAATTAAAAATAAAGATAAATATGTTGCCTTGAAAGTGAATAAGTAATTAAATAAATAAACCAGGTAATGGCAGGTGCAGAAAACAGCAGTATCCAAAATACATTGTATTGTCCAAAATACATCAAAAAGCCCAAATAAGAAAATTCTGTGAGATTCCGCGTTTTATACTGGATTCCATTCCTGTGTCAATTCCATGATTCTGTTTGCATTTTCCACATTGTGGATAGAAATCATAGGGACCTACATACCCCTGTCCTATTTTTATGTTTTTACACACCTGGGAAATTTTTCCACTCACCCCCTGTAATGTGCTCGTGTACCCCAAGGGGTAAACGTACCCCTGGTTGGGAATCACTGGTTTAGGCTATTCAAACTGGTATGCTGAAATAAAACAAAATTCATATCATTACAAAAATAAAACCTGGTTTTTGGTATAAATTGGTATACCGTCTAGCTCTAGTCCGTACCTACAACTGGTTCCAGAGGTATGTGTGTGAGTTCAGGTTAATCTGAATTCCTATCAGGTATTCGTGGTGTGCCTCAAGACTGGCTTCTTGAAACCATTAATTTGTCTGTTATCAGTGTCTCGAACATGTAATACCTACAGCATGTAAAACTATTTTAACATTTTGTTTGTGTGTCTGTAGCAATGACACATCAGCAGTTCCAAATGCGAGGTGTGTGCAGTTTTAATTGGTTATCTGTTTAAGGTTGCATTTTTGTGTGTGATAAAAACGAGTTTCTCACAGTGAGTCTCTAATCTTAGTGTCGCAAGGACTGGCGTCAGTTTTCTTGTTGCTTATAGAAAAAACAAGTCTGACTTATAAAATCAGATTTAGACTACTTTATGACTCTGGCCTGGTTTATTTGGTAAATACCGCTGCATTTAAAACAACGCGCCTCATGACTGCAGTGAAAATGTCGCTCCGCAGCGGCCCTCCTGTGTCGTCAGAGTTTTGCCGAGCTCCACCATTTGTGTGGCTGCTTCTGAACGTTTTGTTCATTGATTGTTCCAACCACCTGCCCTCACTTCAACTCATCCTCCTCTTTCACTTTCCCCAACCCACTTTCACTTACTGACACACAAAGCGTAGAGTTCTTTTAGTATTTAAGCTATAAGTTATAGTTTTGCTCATTCTCTTGCTGTCTTTCAGGGCTGTGGTGGAGAAGTACCTCCTGGAGAAGTCTCGCCTGGTCTCTAGAGAGAAGAACGAGAGGTGAGGGGGGAGAAAGACCACCAGACTTCATGAATCCATCTGTATAAACAGGAAGATTTTGCTATAGTTTAATATAAAGTTCAGCTGAAAGCCTTTGAGTTCAGACAGTCATCTGCTGAAACGCTTCCACGCCCACACACTCACCACCTCGGACTCTAAAAACATGTTCAGTTGCTAACCAACAAATTAGATTAAYAAATCACAACCCACTGAACGCATCGACAATGAATAATATTTAAACTAACATGACTCTACTTGATATTTGTAAAGCCAGTTACGGGGCTCTCTCTTAGTTTGTAATGTCTCATCAGTCGTACTCATCTGTTGCTGTAACACTGACTGTACTGTCTGTCGCTTTTATTTGTTACTCATAACAACATTCACTTAACAACTAGACTGCTTATGTGACTAATACAAAATGTGCCACGGTTCTAGAGAAAAGAATTCGTATTGTTTGTGGCATGGCTTACTTTTGGTTTTAAATCAGTGAGACTGACGTGTTTTGACTGAACTACTTCAAATAAAACCGTAAATTATCAGCTGAGACAGGGAATACCTCGTATAAAAACTTAAAGTAGATGCTTTTGAGTGGGAAGAGCATTACTCACTCGTGAACTTCCTGTTTAGATTTTCCCAGCTAGGTTTTTTAAAAATGTATCCACCTTCCTCTGACAGGTCCGTCTTTGTAACCCCTCCGCCTACTCCGTCTGCAGTTAGCTGGTAATCACCTCGCCTACAGTTACTGTTGACAACATTTCTTACTCTTCGATTTAGAGAGACAGAGACTCTGTTTGTCAGATGTTTTCGTGTGATAAGTGTGGAAACTCATTAATTCGGTGTGCGTTTTACAGTAAAGCCCCAATCACTTGTTTACTTACCTACTCAGTTCACAAATGGAAAACTGATATAAGCGTCGCTCAGCTCCAGATGTTGTCTTCATTTTATTAGCTTTTTACAATAAGTTCAGCTTTATTTTATCGCGAAGACGAAGCCTTTGTTTGACAATAAATACGAGGCTCCTACCTGCTCATTATGATGGCAAACAAGCCAAGATGCCACTAAGAATTAATTCATAAAAGAGACTTTTTATAGTATCTTTCAAGTGTTTTCTTAATTTTTATATATATTTTTTCCAGGAACTATCACGTGTTTTACTACCTGCTATTGGGTGCTACAGCTGAAGAGAGGAAGGAGTATAAATTGCTGCCACCGGAGGAGTTCTTATACCTCAAGCAGGTACAGTCTTTTAAATCTGATTTGTTGTAAATTTAAATAAATTGGGACTTTATCAGTCCACAGCCTGTTAATTTAGTTAACGAGGTTTGACAAAAAAAAAAAGACAAATGCTCTTGAAGTGCATGTGGCGTTCATGAAAGCTGCCAACTTTTCTGAATAAGCTGCTGTATAAACTCACACACGTGCGCTGCATGTTAAGATGGCTCTCTTGTTTAGATTCCCATCTTCCCTCAACCCTTTTAGTTTTTTTTTCCCTCAACGATTCCTTTTCATCGTCATTTTGGGCAATTGTGGGGTTTATGATCTCACTTTTTGTCCCTCCCTTCTAACTGTTTCTCCTTTTTTTCTCCTTTTTAAGGAAAACTTTAAGATCGAGGATGAGGAAGATCTGCGTCATGATTTTGAAAGGCTGCAGCAGGCGATGGAGATGGTTGGCTTCCTGCCAGCCACTAAAAAACAGTGAGTGAACCAGTGAACAGGAGCGTTATTTTAATGGATTTGTGTTAATGAAACACAGATACATGCAGAAGTGATGTACTGTATCAATTTATAAAGCCAGTACAGTCTCCCCTTTTCTCCTCTTGGTCCTGCTGTTTTCAGGCTGTGTAATCTTTACTGTGTTGCAGGATCTTTTCTGTGCTCTCCGCAATCCTTTATCTTGGCAACGTGACTTACCAACGGAAGTCAACGGGCCGAGAGGAYGGTCTGGAGGTGGGGCCACCAGAAGTTCTGACCACCCTCTCCGACCTGCTGAAGGTAACTTTGGCGTCTTGGTTTTTGGTTGCTTTACTTAATTTTGGTAGTTGTGCATTTTTGACTTGTGGCATTAATGCTTCCCCAGGTTGAGGAGGAGCTGCTGGTTGAGGCGCTGACGAAGAGGAAAACGGTGACGGTCAATGACAAGCTGATTCTCCCCTACAGCCAGTCTGAGGTGGGCTTCAAGAAAGAAAACATTCTACAGTCTACACTAGCTGCGTTTACATTGACCATGAAAATGCGCAAATTAGAATTTCGAAAATGAATTTGCTCAATGGAAACACGTCAATTTCGAAAAAACTTGGGTTTTTTGACAAAATGGTTTTGCTCTAGGATGAAGTGGTTTTTCAGCTGTATCGAAATTGGTGTGTTTCGCAAAACTGCAATGGAAACACTTTTTTCGCATCACGGGAGTCACGTGATCAAGAACTGGCTGTTTCTACTGGTGAAAAAGACGACGATGAAGAAGACAACAGGAAGTAGAAGTAGCAGTAAAATCACCTACTACAATTTTCCAAAAACGCCGCATACGTAGCCGCTCCCAAGTATAAGGGGCTTGTCGTTCGAAAGCCTCGATAAGACGCCGACYTCTCCTCTAATGATGAGCGCTAGTGTCCTGGTAGCAGCATGTGTTTACATCCATTGCCGCCATGTTTGTAATGACGTATCGTGAGAACAAACAGAATGTCGACAAAGTTTTGTGCACATTTGCAATGGAAACGCAGCTACTGTCGCCTACTTTTCCCCCCTTAAACTCCTATAAATGTGTTTTCCTTATATTCTRATTTGCATTCACACTCTAAAAGTTCTTGGTAAAGTTATAAATTTAGCTTAAATCACTTCTTTCTTCCATCAGGCTATCACAGCTAGAGACTCCATGGCCAAATCTCTTTACAGTGCCTTGTTTGACTGGATAGTCCTTCGCATCAACCATGCACTGCTCAACAAAAAAGACATGGAGGAATCTGTTCCCGTGAGACACTAACACATAAAAACATGCCCCACACGCCTTCTGGGACAGCAGACAATCAGCTGAACAGTGATTTAACAAGACTTTTTGTTGTTTTCCAGTGCTTGTCCATCGGTGTCTTGGACATTTTTGGCTTCGAAGACTTCCAAGTCAACAGCTTCGAGCAGTTCTGCATCAACTATGCAAACGAGCAGCTGCAGTATTACTTCAATAATCACATTTTTAATCTGGAGCAGGTTAGCAGCTGGATTTACGTTCAAACGTTGCACTCTAAATGTCGCACAGATATTTGTGGCAGTTTGCTCATCAAAACATGATTTTCTTCTTAATAAAGGAGGAGTACCAAGCTGAGGGAATCACCTGGCACAACATCGACTACACGGACAACGTGGGCTGCATCAATCTCATCATCAAGAAGCCCACAGGCTTGTTGTATCTCCTAGATGAGGAGAGCAAGTAAGAATAGCTGCATTTCTTCGTTTCTTCATTCAAATGGATGTGAATAGTTATTTTCATGTAGTTGAAGCTTTTTGTTCAGAGCTTTTGTTTCTCCCCCTCTGCTGCTTGTGCTCCAGCTTCCCTCATGCCACAGATAAGACCTTGTTAGCCAAATTCAAGCAGCAGCACCAGGGGAACAAATACTTTGTCCCCACGCCGGTCATGGAGCCCGCCTTTGTCATTCAGCACTTTGCAGGGAAAGTCAAATATCACATCAAGGTAATGATTGTTGTTGTTGAAATGTTATGATTTGGTTGATTATAACATTTTGTTAGTTATGTATAAGGCTCAGTAAAAGACATTACCTTTAAACATCTAGATAAACTTTATTAAGAGAGAGAGAGCTGTTATAACCTAAAGGGAATAGAGKTGTTCATGAAACATAGATTTAGAACCAGTCTGAAAGAACGGCATACCTCAATCCAAGGAGTCAGATTGTGGCATAATCTGGAAGAGGATGCTATAAATGCTAGATCAAGAAAATTARAAAAGTGGGGCTTTTGAGGAAATATGGAACAGTATAATATGTATTCATGTAAATTTGTGTTCTAGAAGGATTTGACTTTTTTCTTGTTTTGTTTTATGTTAATTGAAGATTAGTATTGTTTGAGTTTATATTTGAGGAAAAAAGGGGCAGATATAAGATTTTTTTCTTCTCTCACCTCCTTTCATTTCATTATGTTTGTGTTTTTTTTTTCTTTTTTTTGTGTACATAGAATTTTTTAAAGAAATGAATAAAGTTTTAAATGAAATCAGAAGTAAACACTCTTTCTTTCATTGTTAGTGTTCTTAGTGTCTCTCTAACAACTGTTCTCTCATCAGGATTTCCGGGAGAAGAACACAGACCACATGCGACCAGATATCATAGCGCTGTTGAGGAGCAGCGACCGGGCGTTTGTGCGGCAGCTCATCGGCATGGACCCGGTGGCCATGTTCCGATGGGGCATCCTGCGAGCTACGATCAGAGGCCTCGCTGCTTTCAATGAAGCTGGTCGTTCCTGGGCCGCCAAAACTGCAGGTACCTCATCTAACAAGATCAATTTCTCTCTTTTTTTTTCCATTATAGACAACTCTCTAATAATCAGTTCTGGTGTGTTAGCCTACATAAATATGGAACGATAACATCAAACAGCTGCTGCTGTACCACAGCTTCAGAAAGCTGCTCTGTAATTAGCCGTCATGGCAGCGTGGAATAATGTGGAGGCCTCAGAACTTGAGGTTTTCAGAGATTTGGAGATTTTCCTCTGTGATCTTTCAGAGGATTTGGGTGCTCTGTCCCCTTTTGGTGAGCTTTCAAATAAACCTGTTTCTAAATAAAACAGTTCTGTTAAATGTTTTTTGTGCTGTTCTATGTTTGGTGTTGTAGGTGTTATCCGTCCAGCCTCCAGAACTCCTCTTGGAGAACTCAAACGGTCCAATGCCCCCATAGAAAGAATGTACAGGTAAGCGATACGCACTGAGAGATTGTAAAGCTGAGATTTACTTTGTGTTCAGTGTGTTTTGGACTGGTTTTACCTGTGAAGGCAGTTTGCTTTATTTTATTTATTTTTTTATTATTTATTTTTTCTTAAAGGAAACTACAGTYCTTGTCACTTTGATGGAGATATTTAACCTGGTGTATTGTGGACCTCTACATTATTCCTTTGGTTCTGAATGAGATGAGGACCAACACCTGAAATATGCGTTATCAAAAAAAAAAAAAAAAATAAAACACTTTTTGTCATCTCAGTGACAGATTAAAATTTATTTAACCTCATCTCAGTCACCCATATCCTCCCCACCTTTTGGTGACCCCAGTGTTTGCGGTTCTCTCCTCTTCCTCTTCCTCCACAGACGAGCTTCTATGCTCGATTTCTACTTTGATCACTCAGAGGAGCGCCCTCTAGAGGCCTTTGAAGACATCTTTGCTAGCTTTGAGAATAAGAAGTAAGTGAATTTGGTMGAAAGAACAAAGAAGTGAGAACAGGAGGCCAAGCAGGAAGGAATTGAGCTGTTAAGTAATAAAACAGTGGTGCTTTTTAAAATGACATCAATGTAAAGTAGTGTGTTGAGTGGGTGAAAAATGTTATTTCTTTTTCTGTTTCAACTTCTGCTCCTTAAATTATAAACGTCCAATCTTTTGAAMAAGTTTGGTGAAACAGTGAAGAATAGTTTGGCTCACAYTCTCAGACTGTAATCACCTTCCTTCTTCTGTATTCGCCATAATCCCCCAACTTCCTCACATTTATTATTTTTGCAGTGGAGCACAGGAAAGTGTTTGCAATAGTCCTCCCCTATTAGCCACTCAGATTACATCATCCTGCTGTAAAGCCTTAAAATCACACGCATGTTTAATAAACAGACAGAAATGTCTGGTGCAAAACAACCAAGAGAGTTTTCTCAGAAAGAAATAGAATCGTAGTGTTTAGATTTAGACTGGTTTTACTTTAACTTTTGTAGAACCAGACTGGATGTAATCATCTGTTTTTGGGGAAAAAAAGTGTGAGATTTCTGTATACCTCCTACAGGGTTCTTGCAGATCCTTAAAAAGTCTTAAAAGGCATTGGATTCATCAGTCCAAAAATAAGGCCTTAATTAGCCATAAAATGTCTTAAATCAATCTTTCTGAAGTCTTAAAAATGTGAATACATTGTAAATAGGATGACTGTAATGCGTCTAATATTAAAATAATTGGTAATATTTATTTATTTTTTAAATATTCACATGCAGACATTCCCCTTTGACATCACTTCCTGTTATTTCACATGCAAATATCTCTACAACAGTTCACCTGAGCAATGTGAAATTTAGTTTTTAATATGTTAAAATTGTTATCTTTCCAAAAATGTGGTCATATTTCTTTAAAAAATTTGATGTCACAGGCACTTTAAGGTGTCATCTACAGCAATTTGGGGTTAAGACCCCTCTGTGGGTCCTAAAACTCTTATATTTTAGGTTGTTAGAGGATTTCCAGAAATTAAATTACGTTTAAAACTGACAGCTAAAAAATGTTTTTTTTGCTATATTTGATGAAAAAGTAGTTAAATATGAATAAAACAAATGCTCTATTAGCAATATTTGAATACTTCAACCAAAAGTACTTTGTTTTGTGAGTTTCTGCCAGTTTTTAATTTTTGTCATTTGTGTTTATTATGAAATTGGTCTTAAATTTAATTTCACTTGGCATTAAAAAATCTTAAATTTAACTTGCCTTAAACTGTAGGAACCCTGTCCCAATATCTGCAAAATGGTGTCAAATCCATGTAATTTACGGACAGCCTGTACAAGTTGACATCTATACATCATGTTCTACATACTGTATATATCTTTAAAGCGTCCAGTCTTTTTAGATCTGAAAACACCAAGGAGTTGAGGTTGTAAATTTCTAATAAGGGTTAAATTCCTTCACTGCTTGGCTTCTGTTTTCTTAGTCAGTCGCGGTAAGTAAAGACCTAAACCTGCATGGACTACCTCTGGGTTATGGGAAGATATTAACCTCACCGGAGCCAGCGTTTCCAGTGTAACCACCAGCCACGGTTAAAGAACTGCACACACCCGTAACAACTTACAGCCAGTAACAGTCGCAGCATGGAAACAGACGGCCAACTCCTGCCGAGCACCAGCTCAGCTCTGCATGTTTACTACCACAGTGGCAGCCAGACGTCTGTGAATACCATCTCTAAATACCCCCACATCTCTATCTCTGTGTATCTTTTATTGTCTGTTTTTATAAAGGAAGTCACAGCATGGTTGGGTGGTCTTGTGTGTCTCGTGGTTTCCTCGTTCATAATCGGGAGGAGGAAGAAATAGATTTAGTGGTTCACCGATGGGCAGAGTGTGAAATCTGAAGTGTGTGTTGGTATGAGACCCCCCAGCTGTTCTGTAGTGGTGGTCCTGGGTAACTGCTGTGGTTTTTTTCTACTGCAGGTGTCCTAACAGTGGTGATCTTCACACTATCCTTTTTCTTTTTAAATCGTGTTTTATACATTTCGCCAATTTTTTTTGCTTTTTCCCCCGTTTTCCTCCCCCCCTGCTCCCCATCCTCCCCCTTTTCTCCTATATTCACACCGTGTGTGTACATGTGTGTGCGTGCGCGCGATCAGAGACATGCATGCAGAGATCATCAGCTCCATTAAGAACTTGCAGCTGGACGGGGAGGACCCTCGCAAGCTGCTTCAATCTTGGGGTCGCCTCCGCTTTCCACGAAACGTCCTCCAGTGAGTCTGCAGACAGAGCGTCGGCTCTTCTCCAGATCAGTCCGGTTTCATCAGCTCAGGCAGAACATGCTCCTGCATCCATGACTAATGTGTCAGCTYTGACATTAATATTTACTTTTGATCTAGTGTGGTGAAACATTGCAGCATGGCAGATTATTAATTAGTAGTGTTGGGCACGTTAAAACATAACATACCACTTTTATTTATAAACCATTTAAGTGCAGTTCAATAAAACCAATACAAATCACAAAATTAGGTACCTAGATTGGAGAATACAAAAAATTTACAAGTAGTAATAAATTAGTAACACTAAAATCTCTCATGACGAAGAAACTGTAGAAATGCTCAGTATCCTGATATACAGTAAGGCTGAGAACCAGTTCAGAGTCAAAAGTGTATTTTTAAACAAGACTTAAAAACTAAGAGAGACGGAGAGTGCCTGACTTCTAGTGGCTGATTATTCCACAACTTTGGACCTTCAACAGAGAAGAGTCTATCAGTTTGAGTCTTGGGCGAGGAACCTTTAAAAGCAAATGATCCTCTGACCGGAGAGAGCACTGTGGGACGTGTGGACGCACTACATTAGAGAGTTATTATTGTGTTAAAGCAGACCAGTCATTTTAACTCCTGTTAAAGTGGACATATCCTGCAAAATCTACCTTTTTTTAGCCACTATATACCTTTTGTTTAGTACTTGGYGTCTCTAGGACAGAGGTTCTCAAACTGGGGTCCCAGGATCCCCAGGGGTCCGTGAGAGGTATCTTGGGGGCCTTCAAAAAATTTCACTAAATTGTTAATTTGGTTTTTATTTTTAAAAATGCATGGAGAACAATGAACTAAAAAACAAACATAATAAACCTAATAAAAATATATATTCCTATGGCATTTAGGGGTTGAAATGACAAATTATCTTTTAAAACAGCATGGGGGTTATGAGGGGGTCCCTGGAATTTTCTTGCCCTTGTAAGGGGTCCCCGGACCCAAATGGTGTGAGAACCCCTGCTTTAGGAGTGCAGAAAATTAGAATTTAGTTTCTCCTGGTGCTGTAAAGATATCTTTATATTCTATTTGGGTCATATTTATCAACCCGTTCAGTTTTCTCTATTTTGTATGACCTTTTCTGAACGATTACTGCCAAATAAGGTCTGGYTTTACCAACTACAGTTTCATTGTCTTCATTCTCCTCTGGCTCTGGGTCAGACTCTGGCTCCAACATGTGAGGCTGGATGGACTAGTCTTCTGTTGTTGACATCTTTTAATAAATTTGTAAATAAAAAGTTTCTGCGCTGCTATATAGTCGTAAACCCCTCTATAATCTAGAATGGACCCATCTGGAAGTTGCGCTGGAACTCTGAACTGTCTGAACTGTCTCACCGGAGGAGTCCAAGCCTGAAATATGAGTTCAATTTAAAATTATTGTAACAAACACAGGTTTCTGCAGACAAGTCTGATCAGCACATAGGAGAAAAAAATACTGTTTTTCCTTTTATAAAGAAAACAGTACTTGAGAAGAACTAAACATCTTTGAGTCATAATAATAAATGAGATTAATCAAGGATTCAGAGTTTTTATTGTCATACAAAATATGTACATCAGGAATTAAAGATAAATGCTGAGGTRCCAGTTGTCAGCAGTGAAAAAAACACTATAACTCATAAGAAGATAAAAAGAAAAAAAGTGTGCTGCCTCTAGACTGTATTGCCACATATAAATGTGCACATTCAGCCATAGAAGTACTACTACTTTAAAACAACAACAGCTGCAATAAAGTGCTGTACATGCCGAATCAAAAAAAAAAAAACAACAACATTCAAAAAACACACAAAACAGAGTTTTTTGCGATTAAAAAAAGTCTTGATTAATTGCAACTGAAACAATTTAAATCTATGCCCAGCACTAATAATTAGTCATTATGAGCTGCTGGATAATCAGCTTCTGTTGACCAAAACCTGGATGCCATGAATACATTAACTACTGCATGACTGTCAACAAAGACTGTTGACATGCAAGATCTTTTATATCAAATTTTTAGCATGTAAGCTCTGCGGTGTGAGACATGACACTAAAGAGAACATGAAGATGTAGAGAGCATGTCTGTCTGTGTGTGTGGAGTCTCTGCTGAGCTGATTTTTTGAAGTGTTTCATTCCTCCTCTTCTTCTTCTGTCTAAACCTCGTCATCCAGTCTAGGTGTGAGCCTGTGTTTCACCACTCACCAGCTGCGCATGAAGAAGTCACCCATTCTTACTAACCTGGTCTCACAACACTCCATCCGCTTACCCTAATCCAGATTCCCACCTCACGCCTCCTGTTTACTCACACCGCTTCTTCCTTTTCCACAGGAAAAACAAGACCGTCCGACAGAGGCAGGCCATCCCCAAGGTAAACCCGAGTGGCTCGGTTAGTTCTCTGTAATTTGCGAGCAGGGAGTTCACCGCTGGGTTTCTGCTTCCAGAGTTTGCTGGATTCGCAGTCGTTGAAGTTCATCGTGAGTCTGACGCTGCACGACCGCACCACCAAGTCTCTGCTGCACCTGCACAAGAAGAAGAAACCGCCCAGCATCAGCGCTCAGTTCCAGGTCACACTTCAGGAATCGTGGACTCGGAGACGGGTGTTTGTTTTACAGCCTAGTGAAACTTTTCGTTCTTTTTTCTCCCCAGAACTCTCTGACCAAACTGTTAGAGACTCTGAACAAAGCAGAGCCTTTCTTCATTCGTTGTATCCGCTCCAACGCCGAGAAGGTAAAATATTATTGTGTCGTTTATTGACTTTTTAAAAAGTGTTAATTTAATCCTGTTAAACAAGCTCCTTTGCTCTTCCGGTAGTGATACAAATTCTCATTTAGTCTGAGACCTTGGGTTTCTGAATGTAACTGTTTGTGTGCGTGAGCAGGAGCAGATGTATCTGGATGAGGCCTTGGTGCTTCAGCAACTCCATTACACAGGAATGCTGGAAACTGTTCGCATCAGGAGGTCAGGCTACGGAGCCAAGTACACCTTCCAGGTACAGCAGCAGATTTGTCCAACAGCCTACAGTCATTCATCTCATATCTCAACTACTAAAAGCCTTAATAACCATCATCTCTGCAATTCTTTCAGGAATTTGTGGAGCAGTTCAGGGTTTTGCTGCCAAAGATCACCTCTGCCTCCAAAGATGACATCTTAGAGCTGCTTGAAAAGAAAATGCACCTCGACCCCACCACGTACCAGATAGGCAAAACTAAGGTATTCTATTTAGAAGCAAGGTATTTTAAAAAGTCTTACTTTTCTTTGATTTTACAGCTGTGTGTATACTGATTTCCTAAAGTCCCATCTGTTCATTTATTCATACATTTTCTTCTGTTTGGGAGGATTTCAAGGGGTCCCCAGGCCAGACGAGAGACATACGTGTCCTGGGTCTTCCCCGGGGTCTCCTCCCTGTGGGACATGCCTGAAGCACCTCATATGGAGGCGTTTTTACCAGATGCCTAAAACAGCTCAACTGGTTCRTCTTAATGTGGAGGAGCTGCAGCTCTACTGAGCCTCCTGGATAACTGAACGTCTCAGCCTGTCTCAGAGCAGTGGTTCTCACCTTCTGACCCATGAAATATCTGTGGCAGATGCTTGTGACCCCAAATATTACTGGTCTGAGTACACAAACTGTCAGTAACCTTAATAAAGAAGGGCTTATTGACAAGTCAATCAGCTTTTACAGCAAAATGACATAATTGTATATATTTTTAATGTAATTATTTTTGTACTAATTATAGGAAAAATATTACATCACTAATTTTTTTAACCTTTGCTTTGATTACTGCAGATTATCTATGGACCCCAACTTGATACTTTATGACCCACGTGGTGTTAAAACTTTACTGCCCTCCGTGTTTCTATATTTTCAACCTTAAAAACGTTGGATAATTTTGAGCTCTTTCAAAGTTTCTAATAGAAATCTTGTATCACTAACTGACCATTTTTGCTTCTCTGACATATTAGCATCTAGCTAGGTGGAAATGCATCATAGGGTGCACAGGCACAGTCWGGTCAGTTTTCCACAACCAGAATAACACGATCAGAATAAATGTTTACATGCACACAGTTATCAGCATAAACCACCCCTCTCATTACAGATCAGTTCTGATCGAGCTGAATCAGATCAGAATATTCCCATTGATTACACGATGCATTTTTATTCAGATTGGCTGTTTATTGCGATTACTTGTGTCCATGTAAACATAGCTGCTGAAATAGTTCTGATGGACCACACAGAGGCCTCCTGCAGAGAAAACTCGTTTCAACCACCTYTATCCAAGATCTCATTCTTTTGGTCACTGCCCAGAGTTTGTGATAAATAGTGAGGGTAAGAACGTAGACTGATCTGTAAACAGAGCACTTCACCTTTCAGCTCAACAGACCAGTACAGAGTCCACAATACTGCAGAATCTGCACGGATCCATRCGCCAACCTCAACAAAACCCCGAGATATTTAACCTCCTCCACTTGAGGCAGAACCTCACCCCCAACTCTAAATCTGTTGTTAGAGTAAAATATTTCATTTAATATTTGTAAATAAAAAGGTAATAATGATCTGACAAAGTTTTTTTCTTTCTTTTTATTATCGTCACTGTGTATCAATTATGGAACTGAAAGAAAAAAGCATCACTGTTTTATAATTTGCTTATAGCGACAACCATTCTCACAATTTCACAAAACAGAACTGAAAACCAAGTTTGGACTCAGGAGAGGAACAAAGTCCATTTTCGCATGATGTCCCCTAAAATCAGCTGCTGACATCTAGTTTAGGAGTCAGACTGTAAAAGAGGGAATTGATACTGTAATCCTGCTGCACTGTAACCTAACAATGACAGGTGATGGCTCAATCAGTCAAGATGGCTGCACCTTCAGAAGTTAACTGTTGGTTTATTCCAGTACGTTTTGCTTCTGCAGGTGTTTCTAAAGGAGCTGGAGCGACAGAAACTGCAGGACATGTTGCACAAGGACGTCATGCGGAAGATCATCTTCCTTCAGCGCTGGTTCAGAGCTCGCCTGCAGAGGCAGGAGTTTCTAGACATGAGGAGGGCAGCCATCTTGATCCAGGTAAATGCAGACGGACCATTGATTTATTTCTCACACCAGCGTACAGCGTACAGTTTGCTTTGTTTGCTTTATAACAACTTAAAGACCATTTAAGAAGAATCTTGGTTGTCTCTGTTTGGTCTTTTAGTTCTCTTGGCGTAGTTACTGCAGAAAGGAGCAAAGGCGACAGGCGGCGACTCTGATCCAGGCGGTGTGGAGGGGACACAGGCAGAGATTAGAGTACCACCGACAAAAACAAGGCGCTACAAAAATACAAGCCCTGGTCAGGGGGCTCTCAGCACGCAAAAGGTGAACCAAAAAAAGTGTTTTTTTTTTTTTTTGTCTTTATATGAAAGTAAAATGAAAACATTTGTGCAACCGAAGTTTATTTTGAAAAACATTAATAAAAACAGAATACAATGATTTGCAAATACTTTTCAAGCAATATTCAACTGAATACAATAGAAAGACYAGATATTTAATGTTCAAACAGATAAGCTTTGTTTTGTTTTGTTTTTCAAATTTTCATTCATTTTTAATTGGATGCCTGCACGTTCCAAAAAGCTGGGACAGGGTCAAGTTTACCACTGTGTTACATCATCTTTCCTTTTAACAACAATCAATAATAGTTTGAGAACTGAGGGCACTAATTGTTGAAGCTTTGTAGGTGGAATTTTTCCATTCTTGCTTGATAATCAACTTCAGTTGCTCAACAGTTCGGGGTCTCCACTGTTGTATTTTTGCTCCAATCATTTTCAATGGGAGTCAGGTCTGGACTGCAGGCAGGCTGGTCTAGTACCTGCACTCCAAAGCCACGCTGTTGTAACACGTGCAGAATGTGACTTCATTGTTTTGCTGAAATAAGCAGAGACATCTCTGCAAAAGATGTGGTTTGGATGGCAGCATATGTTGCTCTAAAACTTGTATGTAGTTTTCAGCACTAATGATGCCTTCACAGATGTGTAAGTTATCCATGCCATGGACACTAACACACCCTCATACCATCAGAGAGGCTGGCTTTTGAACTTTGCATTGATAAAAATCTGGACAGTCCTTTCCCTCTTTGTCCCAGAGGACACAACATCCATGATTTCCAAAAACAATTTGAAATGTGGACTCATCAGACCACAGGACACTTTTTCACTTTGCATCAGTCCATCTCAGATGAGCTCAGAGAAGCCAGCAGTGTTGCTGTGTGTTGTTGATATACAGTATGGCTTTGGCTTTGCATGGTAGAGTTTTAACTTGATCATATAGATGTAGCAACGAACTGTGTTCACCGACAATGGTTTTCTGAAGTGTTCTTGAGCCCATGTGTTAATATCTGTTACAGAATGATGTGAGTTTTTAATGCAGTGCCGCCTGAAGGATTGAAGGTCACAAATATTCAGTGTTGGTTTTTGGTTGGTCCTGATCTGTGTGTTACACAAGCTCCCTTTATACCCAGTCATAACACTCACCTGTTTGTAGTTAACCTGTTCACCTGTGGAATGTTCCTCAACTTTCCCAGTCTTTTGTTGTCCCAGGTTTTTTTGGAATGTGCAGGCATGAAATTCAAAATGAGTGAATATTTGTAAAGAAAATAAACAAAAATAAAAACAGTAAAGTTTATCTGTTTGAACATTAAATAAGAAATAAGTAAATAAGAAACTGTTCTTAATGTTTTGGTGAAATGAAGGTTAAATAAATAAAATAAAAATATATTGTCTTTGTAGCGTATTCAGTTAAATATAGGAGTTGCAAATCATCGTATTCCGTTTTTATTTATGTTTTACATAATTCAATGGAAATGAGGTTGTACTTTGAGGATAATATTTACAACCATACTTATCATGTCTTGTGCCTAACAGGTGTCATTCCATCCGTGAGGAGAAACGAAAGAAAGAAGAGGAAGAGGAGGCCCTTAGGCGAGCAGAAGAAGAAGAAAGGAGGAAGAAAGAGGAGCAGGAGGAAGAGGCGAGGCGAAAAGCAGAAGAGGAAGCTAAACGGAGAATGGAAGAAGAAGCAAGGAGGAGGAGAGCGGAGGAGGAGAAGGCAGCAGCCAGGAAAGCACAGGAGCAGAGGGAGGAAGAGGAGCGAAGGGGAGCGCGGGAGCCTCAGACAAGAGAGGACCCCGATATAGAGCTGGTCAACGAGGAGATGCTGGATGAAAACCTCTCTGCTCCGGAGGAGGAAGAGGAAAATGCCAGCTCACATACAGATGAGGAGCTGGAGGGTGAGGAGCTGGGCTTGAAGACTAACGGCGCCACGTCTGAGGCTGGACCTCAGCAGGAGGAGGAGGASGACGACGACGACGACGACAGTTTGGAGAACCAAACACAAGGACGGCCGGACCCAAAATTGGTGCTGCCCTCAAATGAGGTCACCCCTAACGCACTTAAGTCCACGTCTTCGACTCAGGGGGAGGAGCCGACCAGCACTACCTCCACAAGTCCACCTGCTGAGGAGAAGAGGGGCCAGCCCGCTCTGATCCACAAGCACCCCTCATCCAAGAAGAGAGAGGAGAGGAGACGAAGAGGCCTGGAGCACAACAAGATGGCGACGGAACGAGCTGCCGCCTCAGCCTCCTCCTCCTCCTCCTCCTCCTCCTCCTCCTCCTCTGAAGCCACCAGCAAAGATCAGACAACTCCACCGAAGAGCAAGAACCAGGAGACATCTAAGCTCAAAGAGAGGTCGGACAGCAAGGAGCTGGACCAGTACACCTTCGTCAACTGGAAGGTGAAGGACGACAAGGGAGGGAAGAAGGAGGCGAAAGGTTCTCCTCCCTCTGCCGGTCCGGCCCGACCCTCTACGTTACCCCTGGTGCCTGTTGACGCCACGTGGGAGAGACACGAGGACGGCGTCGGAGCCGTGAATCTGCAGCGCCGCTCCGGAGCCATAAAGGAGAAACCAGAAAAATGGAAGGGAAGGAGGATTAARGAGGAAAACTCAAAGGGCACCGGCTCTCCTCCTCTTCACAACCGAGAGGAGAGGACAATAAAACCCCAGCTGTACGTCCGCTCCACCGCTTTCTCTCTCTTTTTTTATTTTTGTTWAAAAAAATCCTGCCCTTTTTTTACTGAAATTGTTAATATTTGATCTCTCTGCAGGAGCGACGTGTCACACCCATCAAYTGACAGTTTTTCTTCAAGTTCTGAAGTTGCTGCTGCTGTTTCGAGCAGAGAGGTAATTCAATTATTGGTCCATCAGTAAAACCTGCTCCTTGTTCGTCATGCTCAGTCTGTAAACAAAGTTCTCTGCTCTGCAGACACACCCCTCGTCAGAAACTCACAGTGTTGGCCTAAAGGAAAGCTCCGTCCCAAAGAAGCAGCAGGAGGGTTTTGGTCCCCAGGAGTCAGTCCACTCCAGCGCTTCCACTCCAGACAAGTACATCACTGCTCCTAATGTTCAAACAGATGAACTTTATTGGGTTTTTTTTTGTTTTGTTTTTGCAAACATTCACTCACTTAGTTTTTTCTCCCTCTCTCTGCAGGTCTGGTGGATTCTTCAAGTTTTTGAAGAAACGATCCAAAGAGGCCCAGACTCCGGACAACGAAGAGCTGACGTTAATTCAGTCCCTCAACGCCAAGTCAACACACACAGAAGGTAGTTTGTACAACCAACGTAATATTCTGTTTAACGCAACCTCCCATTTTAAAAATTATTTGACTTAAAAAGCATAAAAAAAGTCCAATCCAGATTGTTAAATTAGCCAGACGGACGGCTGTGAGAGCAGCTTGTCTGGTCCTATTGAACATGTGGACGTGCAACTAGCATCCACGTGTTCTTTCTGTCTCCACAGTCAACAAGAAGAAAGCTTTTCCTCCTTCGTGACACAATATTAGTTATATACAAGAAAATATTTAAATCTGTTGTGGTAGTACATTAGCAAAAAATCKATCATTTTACGTTTATAATACGACCCCCTAACTGTATGGATGATTTTTTGGGGTTAATATTGTGTGCTAACATAAATGTGTAAGTTTGCGATTGAAAAGAATAAATTGTCCACAGTAATGATGACTGGTTTGGTTTAACCTCTGCTTCCTGGATCATGGTAGTGCTGGATTTGTGATTTTGATATACATATATATATATTTTTTCTCTAATTTTTCTTTTTATATTTTTCTTTTTATTGTATAATGTATATTAAATTATTTGTTTTGTTTTAATGAAATGAATAAAGAATTGAAATTGAAAAAAATAGAATATTTAAGCATTAAGCACTCGTAAATAGAGTTTATACACTAACACAATAAAAATGTTCTCTCTTTCTTTGTTATTTTTGTAGTGTCTCCATCTGGACATGTGTCTCGGACTCTCCCTCACCCCCACAGCGACCGTGCCGGCCGGACTTTGGGCAGAAACCCCACCATTAAGATCAGTCGAGCRACGCGGGTGTCGGAGCAGTGGAACGCCTCGCTGGACCGAGAAATCAAAAACGCCAACGAGCTGCGGCACCTCGACGAGTTCCTGGGCAACCAGGTGAGTCAAAAGGAACGGGGTTCAGACTATGTTTTGGAAATAGTCTCAACTGGGGGAAAAAACACTATTTGTTCTTTTTTTAAATTATTATTTTTTTTTTGTAGGTCAACGATTTTCGATCCAGGGGCAAGTCTCTGTCCAGTACAGAATCCATTTTTGTCACAGCCACCTCGCAGTTCAGAGACANGGGTTCAGACTATGTTTTGGAAATAGTCTCAACTGGGGGGAAAAAACACTATTTGTTCTTTTTTTAAATTATTGTTTTTTTTTGTAGGTCAACGATTTTCGATCCAGGGGCAAGTCTCTGTCCAGTACAGAATCCATTTTTGTCACAGCCACCTCGCAGTTCAGAGACACCATCAAATCCATGTACTCTGTCCAGGTAAGCYTGCCTGCAGGCTTGAATACTTAATAATCTGGGTTTACCTTCCTTGGATTAATTCTGTCCCACGTCTGAACAGAAACCCACCATCGGCTACAAAGGTCTAATGTCGGGCTACCAGAACAAAGTGATCCACTTGGCCGGTTACGAACACCAAGAGGACGTCCCGCTCGTGGTCAACCTGTTCCAGTCCGTGCTGGACGGCTTCATCAGAGGAGAAATGAAGAAGGAAGAGGCGGAGCCTGCAAAGGTAAAAGGCTCTGTCGTTTTAAACGGGAGGTATTATGTATTTTCCAGGCACTGTTCAGTGCTGTACCACAATCAAGTAACTGTGTTACCTTCAGTTTATGAAAATATATCAATGTAATATATCAAACATAAATCTAAACACCTTGAATTGTCTCTTTAAGAGCCTCCTACCATTTCCAACACTCCCACTTCAGCACATCTTCACAACAGTGCTTTATGCTGTTTACAGTCTTTTGTAGGAGCACTGCATTTTGTTGTAAAAAAAGAAGAAGCAACATTATTTATAAGTTTTAGAAAATGACAATATAGGATTCGGTCGAACCTTATTTGAATGATCCCATGTCGGACCAGGATAGTACGTTTTCTGAAGAACTGGAGCAAGTACAGAGGCTCTTACCAGATGTTTTAGCTCCCAGTCAACCTCTCATACAACTGTTTTTAAAGAAACCATTTCTAAATCAAGTTTAAGATATGTTCTGCAATGAAATCATAATGATTTGTAAGGATCTATTTCTCCTGCTACTAGTCTGGTGGAGCTGTGTGTGGGAGGGAGCTTTGTACCAGCAAGGTTAAAATAAAAAAAATGAACGATGTATTCACAGACGTGTCTTGTCTTTCAGCTTGCCAAAACTAGAAAAAAGAGGAGGAACAAACATAAAAGTGTAAGTTTGCAATTGAAAAGAATAAATTGTAGTCAGTAATGATTGGTTTGGTTTAACCTCTGGCTGACTGTGTTTTATTAGGCGCAGTGCTTCCTGGATCATGGTTTTGTCAACTACCAGGTCAGCATCGTGCAGTCGTGTGACCAGTGCAGCTCTTACATCTGGGTCATGGAGAAAGCCTACATGTGCTGTCGTGAGTAAAACAAACAACAAACCAGGATTTTTCAGTAAAACATCAACAGATCAAAGTTATTTATTTGTCCTGTTTGAAACTTTTCCTACAGATTGTAAGATGGTGTGCCACAAGAAGTGTCTTAGCAAAGTAAACATCGACTGCTCCACTTTCTGTGCCAGAAAGGTGCGTTTTTCTTTTTCTGTTTTTTGCCACATGAACGCATTGACAGTATTGTTTGATTTGAGAAGACGAGTTGCTGACCGACGCTGTGCGCTGAATCCACAGAGCGACGAGGTCATCACCGGGCAGCACTTTAAGGTGCGCGTCTGTCACCTGGTGAGCGAGAAGAACCCYGTGCCGGTGGTTCTGGAGATGATGCTGGAGCACGTGGAGATGCACGGTCTCTACACCGAGGGCATCTATCGCAAATCTGGCTCCGCCAATCGCATCAAAGACCTGCACCAGCGGCTGGAAACGGGTCAGGGAACCGAAGAAACCTCTGTTTTCATTTCATTTGTTTCAGCTCGTAAATTGAAACATTTTTTGATGCCCTTACTGCCTCTTTCCCCACGTGCAGATCCCCATCTAGTCCACCTGGAAGACTATCCCATCCACACAGTAACTGGCCTGGTGAAGCAGTGGCTCCGGGAGCTACCAGATCCACTCATGACCTTCGCACATTACAACGACTTCCTTCATGCAGTGGGTGAGTCGGGCGTTGTCCAGCAGGGGGAGACGTTTCACAACAGAAACCTTTTGTCGCGCTCCTTTTTTAACCACTCCTCAAATGTTAAATCTCCTGTCAAATGTTCCTTTACTGTGAATAAAAGTGAGCTTATCACAGTAAACTGTTAATATTCAGAATTAAGTGTTGTTTACATTTTTTWAATGTATTTTGTTAGAACTGCCAGAAACTCAGGAGCAGCTTCATGCCATCTATAAAGTCCTGGAGGAGCTTCCCTCAGCAAACTTCAGCACATTAGAGCGACTCATCTTCCACCTTGTCAGGTATGTTRTTATGTAAATCAGCAAAGTTCAAACTTTAGGTAGGAACTCTTCTGTTAGTGGAGTCCAGATCAGATCATTGTGTAAGTGTTTATAAAGTATTCACACAAGTATGATAATTTATTTATTATTTTTATTTATTTATTCCATTCATTTAAAAAAACAATCTGTATATAGTAATAAAACCAAAGTAAATCATGCCCTAAATGAAAAAGGTACAGAATGAAGAGAAAAATCTTTTCCTAACTGCTTTTTATTTTTTTCTTCTGTACGGTTTTATGTCATTCCGCAATTATTGTGCAATTTCAAAGATTTATATTAAAATGTTCAGCATTCCAGCTGTGACTTTTGGTACTTCAGTAATTTATACTTTTTGAAATATTTATATTTTTCTGCCATTTTRTTTCTCATTYAAAATGAATGAAGCGGTCTTCATCATCCTTAAAACCCTTTCAAATGTTCATAAATCTTTAGTGTACTCTGCTTCTTTTTTTTTTTTTTTTTTACATTGTGCCAATTTCAGCTTTTTTCGGCTTTTTTCTTCTGAGGGGTTTTTTTTCGGCTTTTTTCCTGCTAATTTAAGCTTCTTTCAGCTTCTTTTTGGTAATTTAAGCTTTTTATGCCTCTTTCAGCGTCTTCTAATTTCAGCGGTTTTCTATGTTTTAAACTAAACTTTCTGTGATAATTTCAGCTTCTTACTGCTTAATTCAGCATATGCACTGTTTCTGTTTTTGTGCTAACTTCAGCTACTTTTAAAGCTGTATTAAGCTAGTTTTAGCTATTTTTGCTATTTGAAAACAAATTGCAACTTTGTTGTACTACTTTTTGTTTTTCTGATAATTTGAAAATTTTCTCTGTTCTTCCCATTGGTCTGTAAATTTTAACTTTTTTCTGCTACTTTTTAAAATTTTAGCTACTTTTAGCCTTGTTTCCAGCTGCTTTTCTCCTAATTGAATCTGCTTTGTGCTCAGTTCAGTTCTTTCACCCTGAATTAAATCAGTTTTAAAGATATTAAGCTAAATCTTGGTGTGGTAGTAGCTAAGAGTGATCCCCACCACCTGCTGAAAGCTAATTAGCTATTCAAGATGACTGACAAAGCTAAATACAAGTCGTCAGTCAGTGGGCACTATCTTCTTTGAACTTTAACTCTGTTTCAACTTTTTAAACTATGTTGGGCTGAAATGTACTTTTTCTGTTATTTTAGCTACATTTCTGCTTGTTCGGCTGTTTTTTTTTTTTTTTGTTGTTTTTTTTTTTTGCTCATTTTCTACTGATTTTTCACTTTTGTTTTCCTACTTTCAGCAGCAGACATCTGTTCAAACTGAATTTACACCTATAGTTTTACTAATTTATATTTTCAGCTTCTTCAGCAGCTTTCAGCAAATCTTTAAGGGTTAATTGTCGAAGTGTATTTTTTGCAGGAAATGTAAATGTTCCTGTTAATCAAACAAAGCCGACAGTGCAGGCAGTGGAATGACTTCTTCTGTCTGAAAACGTTCCTGCAGGGTCTCCAAAGAAGAGGCTCACAACCGCATGTCCCCCAACTCTCTGGCCATAGTGTTTGCACCGTGCATCCTGCGCTGCCCTGACACCGCCGACCCGCTGCTCAGCATGAAGGATGTCGCCAAGACCACAACGTGAGGAAACCAGGACAAAACATTTTCCATTCTGACCAGGTGATCCGTGTTTTGGACTGTAGTTTCATCAGATGTTGTAAATGCTGTGGCCCTCTGCCTGCAGCTGTGTGGAGATGCTCATCGTGGAGCAGACCAGACGATACAACGAGAAGATGGAGGAGATCGAGCAGCTGGAGTACGCCGAGGCTCTGGCTGTGAGCCAACTCAAACTCAAGAGGAAGAACACGGTGAGGAGCCTCACTTCTTATATCAGCTGCATGTCAGAAGTTAGTCATTAAAGTCAAATGTTATTTAAAAACATACTTGGAAAAGGCTAACAATGTTAAGTCAGGTCCTCTGGACGGGTTCTTTGTCAAAACGTTTCATCTCTTCTCCAAGAGTCTTCTTCAGTCTGAGTAGCTGCAGGTAAGCCCAGATTCATGAGCAGTAACTTCACATAGTGGATCAACCAGTTTACCGTGACACCTGAAACTGGTTGTTCACYTGCGGAAAGAGGACCACCAGCCTAATGTAACCGGTCGTTAGAGCCCTGATGTCCGCTTGTTGTTCAGAGGGTTGAGTCATACTCACAATAACAGCACTGTGAGAGGAACATCACAACACCTCCAGACTTCTATAGACTTTCATCAGCTGTTTTTTGTTTTAACACGTCTGAAGGACCAGATAGATTATGATATTGATAGCCTTGATTGTTGGCAAATCTTTAGGTTCTGTCGAAAACTCATTCATCTTCGTAAAATACAGTCTCGTCCKACATATTTGAACTGGCAGCACGACGGCTCAGTGGTTAGCACCGACGCCTCACAGCAAGAAGGTCCTTGATTCAAACCCCGGTTCAGACCTGGGGTCTTTCTGTGCAAAGTTTATATATATATATTCGCCTGAGAAATTATGAAAATTTTAGAAGATGTGTAAGCAGAAGATTAAATTGGGGGAAACAAATTGACTGGAAGCTTCTTTTRGACTTATGCATGTTCTCCTTGTGCTTGTGTGGGTTTTCTCCGGGTACTCCGGTTTCCCCCTCCCCTAAAAACATGTACAACAGGCTGCCTTCAGGCCCAGGCCTCCCTTGAAAAAGAGATGTGAGATCTCAACAGGACTTGCCTGCTTAAATAATGGTAAATAAATAACTAATTGCTGGTTTCTTTGTCTTGAAACAGAATCTAAATTCGTAGAATACGGACTCTCTGCATATCCACTATAGATGRTTTACTTCATTTGTACGGGAACTTGAAATCCTTGAAAAGGTGTTTATAAGGTTTGGAAAGTGCTTCATTTCTGTATAAAGTCCTTGAAATTTTTTAATGTTTTGACCACACAGTTGTGTAAAACTCAATGGAGAAATGGCACAGAGATACAAACTCAGCCGAAGTTTGGAAAAGTTTGACAGTTTACCTTGAAAATGTTTGAATTTTAAAGTGCACAAACCCTGTAGAACTGCTGCTCAGACTGAAGAAGTCTCTTGGATATGAGACGAAACGTTTCATCGAAGAAGAACCCGTCCAGAGGACCAGACTTGACGTTTAGATTTTTCCCACCTGGATTATCGAGACGCATCAGGATATGATTGGAAAAGGTTTATTTCAWGAATAAATGTAGATTTTGTCGGGTATTTTTGCCTCCTGTAACTCACTCAACCCCTTCGTCAGCTGTTCTCAGGTTCCTCCAGTAACACGGCCAATGTTCCTTCTTTTTTGTTTTGTTTTGTTTTTTAGCACTACCTGCATTTACCTCTCAGGTACTCAGCTCCTTACAAAGGAGTGGTGGTACGTATCATCCAGTTCTCCAGTCCAGTAGATCCAGTAGTGTGTAGTTTGCCATGTTGGACTGCTTGTGCATGGCACGCTCTGGCTGCTGTTTTTATAATTATTATTTTTTCTCTTTACTCATTTTCATTTGTTTTACAGTTATTTAACTGTAAAATCSTTTGTACTAACTGGATGTAGTTTGCATAATGTTAGTTTTTTGTTTTTAGTTTGTGTTGTGAAGGATTTGTTGTTTGTTGTGTTCTCTGAATGTGAGGACAACATGGTTCTGGGTTGCTGTTGTGATTCTGGTCTTTTTTTTTTTTTTCAGAAAGTGAACTTACTGTTTTTTTCCGGACTATTAAGTTGCATTTATTTAGAAATTTATAACACAGATGTGATGTGAAATAGTCTTAACACAACAAGCAAGTTACTGTTGACCAATCTCATTCCACATCACGCAATTAGCTTTCACTTTATGCAATAAGAGWATGGCAGGCCCTTTTGACATAAAATTGTCTTCTTCTGACCATCTGTAATTACATTCTAGATATCTAAAAAAGGATTTTAACTAGGAATAACTACATTTTAACTATCCTGAATCATCATTTATTTTCATGGATCAAAATGCCTTTCAACATATCTCATCAGATTTGTCATTTGAAGGGTCARACACCCATAATTACAATTCAAAATACCTCAGATGTAATCACATTTTTTAGATATCTGAATGTACAAATTGTGCATTGAGCTGTCCAAATAGTTTTTTCAGGCTGCAATGAAAGACAAACTATCTGTGTTCCTTAATACACATCGAGCTGCAGCACTAAAAATTGTGTTAAAAATCTCAGAAGTTGAGTTGGACTGAGCTGACGCTGCAGACCACTGAAGAGCAAATTAAGGTAAGGTTGGTGGTTCTGTAAGGCTAAAATGTCCTAGAAACCTTCTGACAAAATGCTACATAAATCTGTGACYTTTTAAACTAGTCAGAATAATTATTAAATATATCTTGACTATCATGCTGACTAGTCAAAATGTTAATTCAAGACATCTGTAATAGAAAATGGTAAATGAACTGTACTTATATAGCACCTTTCTATCCAACAAAGATACTCAAAGTACTTCACATTACAGCACTGTGAGGTCTCTACAAAGATAACATGTAATCATCCTGTGGAGACTAATCAGTGCCAATCACATTCATACACTGATGGGACACGCATCAGAGAAAAGCRGTCTAGATGAAAAAATATTCAATATATCAATAATTCATTCGGAGCATCTTAAAATGAATTGTGACTAGTCAAAAATACAGCTGTAGGTATGTCTAAATTAGTTTTGCCGAGTCATTATTTACTTTCACGATAGCAGCAATTTAATTTGCACTTGTCAAATTGATATATTGCATATCTACAAATACATTTAGAATATTTTGAATTATGATGTAATTTCAGATATATTTAGTTGGAGTTAAGACTAGTTAAACACAACAAACAGTGAGCTCTTGAAAGCAAATAATGACTAGTCACAATTCCTTTAAAGACGTCTTGAATCGGAGCCTCCATACATCCATGGTAACTCTGAAGTCAACTAGTAGAATGTAATTATAGATATCTTAATTAACTAATGTTAATAGTCATAAATCAATTTCAGATATCTGGAATGTAAGGCTTGTGAATCCATTTTAATGTTAAAGTGGATTGCCATAGACAGAGTAAGCTCTGGTTTTTGCTACACCCTCACACATTTCTCAATCACCCTAAACTTGCTTTCTGCTGCTGGATTACGGTTTGTTTGTTTGTTTGTTTGTTTGTTTGTTTGTTTGTTTGTTTGTTTGTTTATTTATTTATTATTTTACCAGACAAGGACAACATTTAGTTGTCACAAGCCAAAACACTCTCTCACTACTGCGGTAGTGATGTTTACAACTTGGTTCATGTCAGTCAGAACGAACATTTAACAAACAAAAAAAAACATCAGAAAATGTGTCATGAAGAGGGGGAAATCATGTACAAGTGACAGGACCAGACAAATTATTAAAAAAGTGCAACTTGTAGTCCAGAAAATACGGTACTAAAAATGTGACTTGCAAAGCTTGATAACAAAGGTGTATTTTTGATTTAGTGGTTTTCTACTAATTAATTGTTTATTTTTTATCTAAAAAAAAAAAGAATCCCAAAGCTCTGAAAGTCATATTATTTATTAATAAACTGAATCTTTTTGATCATGGTGACGTGTTTAACCTGGATGACTGTGGAGGGGGAGAATTTATTCCCTGATTGAATTGACATCATTTAACCATATTTTATTCATCCATCTTCACAAAAGGGCTGTAGTTTTTTTTTTATGTGCAGATGCATGAAGAACACAAGCCCCTGCTTTTCTGTTTTTACCTCACTAACAGTTTTTGGCTGATTTTTAGATTCTGGTTAAAGTTTTAGTGCATCTTAGTTTCCCATTTAGAAATAACTCAGTTTACTAAGTTCCTAACAGATTTTATTTGCCTGCGTCGGTCAGTTATCAGTGTTTGATGTGTTGTGCAGATGCACGAGAAGGGGAGCTCTGATCTCAGCGTGGTCCCTGAGAACGAGCCGCTGGACTCGGACACCGAGAACAACCTGGTYGAACGCATCAAATCCATCAAACAGGAAAAGTGAGGATTTTATCTCGTATAGCTGTATGTGCCCCCCCCCCCCTTTTTTTTTTGAATCAGTGCTTTAATGTGTTGATGTTTTCTTTCTCTCAGAGACGACCTCGCTGTGCGGCTGCCGGACATGGAGCAGCCCGGCTCAGACCAGGAGAACTTGGACTTGGAAGCGTCGCTGAGCTCCAAGAGCCTCCTGGACGAGCAGCAGTGCTCTTCTGCTCACAGTTCAGAGCCGGAAGGTTAGTGTTGAGGTGCCCCCCCCCCCCCCTCCTCTCACTCACCTGTGGCCTTCTGACCAAACCGTGGGGTGCTTCCTGTCTTCTGTGGTGCAGGTCCGGACCAGTGATGGTGACGGGGCGCTGATGTCTGCTCTTTAAGCAAAAGCAGGTTGGGGGAACAGCAACCGGGTTGTGTGTTTTGTGTTCGTGTAAACTCACACGAGGCATGCTCAGACCTCGCTCAGGAATAAATTCAACATTCGGCATCAAACGCTTTTTTAATTCTACTTTTTAAAAATGTGCTTCCTTTTCGATAACATGGTTGCATGCTCTTCCATTTGTCCTCTCTTTGTTCTTCCTTCTCTGCACCGTTGTGTCTTTTTATTTTTCTTTTGTTTTTGTAAAATATCATTGTTTAACTCCACCCCCTATTTTTTCTGCTTCTCTACCAGGTCCAAGTGTCGCCCAGTTGAAGAGACAAAAGCTAGTTAGCTCTCCTAAACCCTCAGATCTGGTGCAGCGACCTAAAGTTCTTGCTGGAAGCGTCTCTCTGATGAACCTCACCCCGGCCAGCTCCACTTCCTCCGTGTCAAGCTCCGCCTCCTCTGTGTCAAGCTCCGCCTCCTCCGTGTCTGAATCCTTCTCCTCCTCCTTCAGGCACGTCCTGCAGCGCCGCAACCCCGTCATCCCGGACACGGTCAAACTGCCGCAGGGCGTCTGTCCCCACAAGGCGACCTCCAGCCCCGCTCAGACCCGCACCCCTCCCGCACCCCGGGACTCGACGCGCTCGTCGAGGAAAAGGGATCAGCGCGGCCGCCGTCAAGACAGCACCCAGTCCCTTTACGTGGACGAGTCCGAGTGTGACCCGCTGCTCCGTTTCTCCTCGTGTCCTCCCTCCGCCTCGTCCTCCTCGTCCTCCTCCTCGCTCCCTCCTCAGATCCAGCCGCCCCAGGTGGACACCTCCAGGGTCCAGAGGCGCTTCTCGGACCCGGACATCCTTTACGTGGACGATGACGCCTGACCCTGGCGTGGCCTGAAAACGATGAGTCGTTTAATAAAAGGGCAACAACCTCCTGACGTAAACGATAAAAATCCATCCAGATTCCAGACGAGGATCCAACTCAGAGCAGCGGAACGAGACCTGAGAAAACTGGATGAGTTCGCAAAGTCAGACTGAAGTAGCGGTGGCTGTTACAGTTCTTACCAGAGAGAAACTTTTCTTATTGACAGTAAAATAACTGGACAAGTTGTTGCCAAGCACCTTTTAAAAAAAAAATCATTTTAATGTATTTGTGAATCTTTCGATGAGTTTATTTTGAATTCATCTTCTGTAGCCTCTCAGATTTTTTAAAATCTGCACAGCAAGAAAATGTGGCAGGTTACGGTCATTTTTAATTTTTATTTTTTAGTTTCTGTTCTCACGCTGAGCAAAATGTGCTCAGTGAGCTGTTTGTTAGTGCCTTGATGTTTTACGGTGAGTTGATAAACTCACMTTTCAAACCAGAATTACTGAAAAGGACTCGTAGAGAGGGGGAGGGGATTGGAGAGGTGGTCTTTGTCTCAGCTGGTTGTGTTTGTCGCCCTGAGCTGCCACAAGGCCCGTTCGGACCCAGAACCTAACCATGCACATTCTGTACGACTTCATCCTCGACCTGCTGCACAACAAAACACCCGATAGGAACTTATTGCTTTCAGTTGGCAAAAGGGAAACGGAAGCAGCACGCGCCACTTTTTCCTCTGAAACACAGAAAATAAAATTATAATAATAAAACAAACCTCCACYCCACGATGTTCTTCAAAAGCTCCAGCGAGTCACCCTCCTCCCCGTCGAAGGAACGTGACTCCGCTCAGCGGTGGGCGGTCCCAGACGGCGAACASCGTTCTGCTGGAGCGCAGCCTCGGCCGACTTTGTGTAAAATGAAATGTAATACTAATGTTTCTCTGTGACTGCTGAATGATGTTTGTCTGGATTTTAAGGAAGATGCTCTGATGTGTAACAGACTGTGTGTTTGGGACTGAATGACAAAAGTTGTAATGGTTATTAGTATTAACATGGAAATACAGTACATGATGCTTGTAACACCTGCTTCTGTGTCTTCATCAGGTATTGTTTCCTCCGCCGAGGAGTTCGTGTTCTTTGTAGCGTTGGTTTGTTTATTTGAGCAGGAGATTAATCAGCAAGTTGTTCACTAGGCTGCGTTTTACTGATGTCATACAGCGGCAGCCAATCAGCACCCAGCAGAACTGTCTTCCGCCAATCGCGGCTCAGCAGCTGCACACTCTCATTTGCATTTTAGGAGCGGTGGCGCTGTGGTTAGCCTTTGCGTTAGCGCCCGAGCTATTACATAGATGTGGCTCAAAGCGTTACAGTGGGGGGAAATAAGTATTTGATCCCTTGCTGATTTTGCAAGTTTGCCCACTTACAAAGACATGAACAGTCTATAATTTTAAGGGTTTGCTCATTTTAACAGTGAGAGATAACTTTTTTTAATGGTTGCGTTTGTTGAAAGACAGACAAAATATGTTCAATTGCCTTCAATGCCAGACCTCCCTTAATAGAGATTTGTAATTTTAGTAGTTTGTCTTAAAGACACACATGAACAAAAAAAAACATAAACAAGAAAAATTAAAAACATAAATAGATTAAAACAAGAAACTTACAAGTAAAACAACCTCAACCTCTGTGGTGTAAATTGGCAACACGTAAACATCCTGGCAGGGGTGGAACATGTTTAATGCAAACACTGTATTTTAGAAAACGTTCAGATTCAAATTTTGTTTCTTGTCCCTTGTGCAATTAAACATGTCATTCTTCTACATAATTTGTGCAAATAAAATGAACTAGAGAAAAAGAACACTATAAAAATGTTTATTTTAAAAACAGGGTAACCGTTTTAATCAAATCTAACTCCAAAATGCTTTAAAAAAGAAAACAAGAAATAAAAGCACTCAGAGTGCACACCTTCTCCAAGAAGACCATTACCCAGGTAAGATGCCAGGGCACTGCCAACAGAACAGGTTGACAACCATTTGCACCACTTTCTCAAGTCATACTGTGACAGCCAATCAGAATCCAGCAGAATCAGCTGCTCCGCCCACCACTACTGCTTTTCGCTCTGACGTCAAACTATCGCGACTTTGTCAACTTCAAACATGGCTTCCAGATTGGAAATAAATTTTATTAGATTGCTGTCTCGTTGTGAGACTATGGCATCAGAGAAACGTGGAGAGACTGACTGGAGGTTAGAGAAGGTAAGGCTGGTTACTCCAAAAGGAGAATTATCAAGAAATACACGAGTCCGACTTGTTTCGACCGTTGTTTACTGTGCGGCTCTTTCTATTAGCCGCTGCTGTTATCCACGTCGTCACAAGACAGGACTGTGTTTTCACTTGTCTTGACTTACGAACTGTACAGCTAGTTTGCTCATGTTTTTGTTCATGAGTAACAGAACAAATTAGCTTATCTGGATGAGCAGCAACAAACATTTAAAAAGTCACCCCAGAAAAAAGAAAACATTTAACAAAATAAGCACCCACTATGTTACTGAATGAATTAAATTTAAACATTTCTTGGCCTATTTTTTTTACACATGCAAGTTTATTTTACCTTTGTGTTTAGTGTGTATTTATACTTTTACTCAGCAGTGTTTAAGCATTGCAGTTTAAAGAGGAAGCTTGCCTACAATAAAAGGAAAACAAGTTAATGTTGTACAGTCTGCAACAAAAGACTGTAAATGTATTTACAGCAAATGTATATGTTTTACAGAGCTTAGTGAAGTAATTATAAATATGTCATCACTCTGTTTTCTTTCCTTCAGTACGTTACTGCCCTGGAGGAGATGTTGGTGGCTCTGAGGAAAAGCCAAAGGTTGCTTCACCCTTTTAAGATCACCTCATTTTTCATTTGATCTTGTTGGAACTGACTTTATGCTGTGTGCTCAGAAACATCAAGAATTAGATTGAAAACTTAGAACTTTTTTTATTGTTTTGCCGTCATTGTGGCAGACATTAAGAATATTGTTTGTAATCCGTAGCAGCAGTGACACTTCGCTGACGAACCGTTTGTGTTTTCATCCAGCAAACCAACACAGGAGGTCCTGACCGAATACACAAGAAAAGTTGATTTTCTTAAAGGGCTCCTGGAGGCAGAAAAACTGGTGAGATTTGAGATCATTTTTTATTTTTTCATTGTGCATCTAATTTTCTTTTTATATCATTATTTAGGAGCTTTAAAGTTGTTGTAATTTTGTCCAAAGAGTTCTCTGTTGTCTTGTTTCTTCCTCAGCCCTCACCAACAGAGAAGGCTTTAGCGAACCAGTTCCTCGCCCCGGGCCGCACGCCCACCATAGCCAATGAGAGGATGCCTGCCAGTAAAACGGTTCACCTGCAAACGAAGGCCAGGTGCACAGGAGAGATGAGGGACGAGCTGCTCGGCACGGTGCGTTTATTTGTTAGGAAACTCTCTGACAAGTTCTGCTTTTACCTCTCTCTTGGGATGGAACATGTTTAACTGGTGTGTTTTTCTGTCACTGCAGCAGTCGTCTGGTAAAGGTAAGATCAAACATCTTGTTTTCAGCTGATGGATTTGCTACAGATTGTTATTAAGTAGTTTTATTCAAATAAAAAAACGTTTTTTTTTTATTCTTGTCTGTTTATTCTTTCAGGCAACTTGGATGGAGATCTAAGAAACAGAAGGTAAAAACCTCTCATACAATAAATATTAGACGGCGTGTTCCTCTCTGTCACCATTAAAGCATCGCACGAAATCATTTGAAACTCCGCAGAGGTCTCCCTGCGGACGAGCGTCAGTCTGCCGCAGAGCTGGACGCCATCCTGCAGCGCCACCACAACCTGCAGGAGAAACTGGCGGAGGATATGCTCAGCCTGGCCAGAAACCTGAAGAACAACACCCTGGCAGCACAAAACATCATCAAGCAGGACAACCAGGTAGCTTAATGATGTGAAAAACTGCTGGACAGAAACATCATCACCCATGGATGTTGCTGTTTTCCAAGGAGAATGACCTCTTTTCATGTATATTTAGGCATATACAGTATGTTTAAGTRATGAGAATGTATAGTAAAGTTTCCTGTTTTTCAGAGGTTTATAGTAACTAAGTACATTTACTTTGTTACTGTACTTAAGTGGTTTTTGATGATTTGTAATTTTACCTATTTTTTTTAAATAGCTACTTTTACTTTTTATTTTGTTACATTTTAAAGCTAAAAATTATACTTTTACTTTTTTACATTAAAATGTGACACCTATTTACTTGTTACAAAATTAAATATGTTGAAACTCATCATGAAAGAAAATGTTTCTGCACTCTAAAAAAGTGTTGAATTTACTTTAAGTCAACTGGCTGCACTAAGCCTACTTGAGTAAATTGAGCAAAGATTATACATATATAGCTCAATTTACTCAACCTGGCTTAGTGGAACCAGTTTGGTTCAGTAAATTCAACAGTTTATTTATCAGAGAGTGTGTGAAAGTACTTTTACTTTTACTTTCCCAATTTTTGTGAACAATTTTATGACTTTTGAGTAGTTTTCTCATCCGTGAAATTAATTTTTACCAAAGTCATTTTCAAATCATATTATTTTACTTTTACTTAGTTATTTTTTTAAATACTTTATAGACCTCTGCTGTTTCTTTGTTTTTTTTTCATTGTAAAAGTATAATAATGAAAATTTTTACTTGTCTTTGCTAACCTGTCCACAAGAGGGCGGCAGAAGATTCCCTAACCAGTGTGGTCTCTGGTGGGGCTTTTCCGGTTCTCTCCGGTGGTCCTCTTTAGGGGGTGGGTGGGCGGCCCTTCCGGCGTGGGTGTCTCTGGGGCTGCGCGCTTGGGGTCCCTCTCGGGGTCTTTGGCACTGGTCTCCCTTATGTCGGCTTCCGGCTTTGCGGGGTCGGGTCTGTGGTCCCCCACAGTCACTTTGAAACATTCCATTGGAGAGGTCCACGCATGCTCACAACTGCACACAAACAGGTGTTTACATCCTGGGTTTTCTATTCGGGCACTGACTGAATGGTYTGTGCATATGTGTATGTATAGATATATGCATATGTGTATGTGTGTGTGTGTGTGTATATATATATATATATATATATATATAAGTGTTTGGATATGTAGGTATGGGTATGTTTATGTGTATATGTATATATTTATATATGTATATGGGTATTGTTTTCAGCAAGGCTATAGTCATTATAATTATATAGATATGCATTTTTGTTGCTGTGGTTTTGCTATCTTTGTTTTGTAGGTGTGGAGCCAAGAAGTCGGGTGTGCTGTCTTGTGTTTTCTCAACATATATTTCACATATCTTCTAATCTCTCTTTCACTCTTTCTCATTGCATTTCACTTTTTTCTTTCTCTTTCTTTTTCTCCTATTAAAATAAACACTGATGATGAAGAAAGATACTAATATTCAGATATTCAGTTCTGCTTTCTACTGAAGTGGCAAAAAAAGATTCCCTAACCAGCCTCCAGTGATAATGATGTAATAGAATAGAATAGAATAGAATAGAATAAATAGCCTTTATTGTCCCTCAGCGGGGAAATTCAGGTGTCACAGCAGCATCAGTACAAAGGTTCTCACACTACAAACTATTGATAGTACACACAAAACAAAATTAACACTTACTAGCCATGATACAACTACTAATAATAAAAATAAACAATGATATGAAGATTTGTTCAAGAATAGAAAAGCGATGTTTTGTTTCAGAATCCAACATTCAGAATCAGAAGTTTCCTTTTTTTGAGTGCAAAAACAATCCCTGACCGAATACACAAACATAAATATACATATCAAAGTGCCTGTGACATCAAATTTTTATAATAAATATGAATATATTTTTGGAAAGATAACACTGATAACATGTAAAAACAACTTTGTGCCGCCAAGATGAACAGTTGTTGAGATATTCACATGTGAAGAAACAGGAAGTGATGTCAAAGGGGAATGTCAGAATGTAAACGGAGCGTTGTTATAATGGCTAGCAACACAGACTGTAGAGAAGAATCTAATGGTTCTTGAGATTATTTTTATCACCATCATAGAGATGAGAATCATTGTTCAAATAATATTGTTTTAATAAACAAAAACCAGGGAGTTTTCTTTCTCAAAGAGTTCCCCTTCCATGTCACTTCCTGTTTCACTTTAGCTGAGCCAAATTCAAAAGAAAATATGCCAGTTATGTGACATAATGGGTCAAATCATGTGTATTATGCCAAATTCCTTAAATATAAATATATTTTCTTTGCCTTTTTTGTATTTCTTGGATATGCGTGTCACAGGCACTTTAATGTCTTGTCTTCTGCCTCCCAGACTCTGACCCAGTCCATGCGCCAGGCAGACCTGAACTACGAGAAGCTGAAGACGGAGTCCGAGCGCTTGGAGCAGCACACCAAGAAGTCCGTCAACTGGCTGCTGTGGCTGATGCTCATCCTGGTCTCCTTCACCTTCATCAGCATGATCCTCTTCATTCGGATCTTCCCCAGACTCAGATGATGATGGTGCACAAACCTGAACTCTTAGTCCCCATCCCCGTCCCAACGTTCCTTCTGGGCTTTCAAAGCTCTGAAGTAAAACTGAAAACATTTGAGTCTCTGAAGGTTGAAGTCTTATATTCCTTTTTTTTTATAGAGGTGAGGACACAAACAGAGGCGAGCAAATTTTATTTCAGAAGTTACAGTTCAAGCCTTTATTATTTCTGCTCATTTCTGAGCTGCTTCTGGCTTCAATGGATCATTTGGCTATTGAGTCAGGAAGAATTTAGTTTATTTAAATTATTATTTTTTTACTTTAACTTCACAGTTTAATGTT